CACACACAGACTTAGTAGCAAGTGGAAAACTCAGCAAGGCATTCAGTCCATGAGCAAACAGCCGTGTGTTTCAGTCCATGTTTGGTCGGGTCATCACAAATCAATGATTTAAACCACAACTACCTTTCCCATACATCGGCCCCGGGTGATGGATTTGCTAGTCGCTACATTACGACATCACTGTGCGTGTTTTTCTCAGCAGGACTAACGAGCACAAGATCTTTATTGAAAATCTTTTGTGATCCTCTAATGTTATTGTTATGTCCATCAGGCTTATTAATCATGATTTAAACCACAACTACATTTCCCATACATTGGCCCCAGGCGAGGTCCCACGAGTTCGGAGGCCGGCAACGCAACAAAGGCCGGCGATGAAATTTCTCAACGGCGTCCCAAGAATGCCGTATAGGTTTATATTTCCACTTGGGACTACACTGCGAAAGCTAGTGGTGGTAGTGGTGGACTACACTGCGAAAGCTAGTGGTGGTAGTGGTGGTTAAACCACCACTACGTTTCCCGTACATCGGTCACGGGGAGGGTCCTCGTTGTAGTCCCAAAAGCTAGTGGTGGTAGTGGTGGTTTAAGCCACCACTACGTTTCCCGTACATCGGTCACGGGGAGGGTCCTCGCTTGTTTCAGAGGCCGAAACGAAACTGCGGCCGTTGATGAAATTTATCAACAGCGGCTGCCGATGAGCCCGGCCGCCCAGGAATGAGCTAAGGTTATATTCTCACTTTTTTCCCAATGCAGCTGCCATCCAGCCCGGTCCCCAAAGAGTCCGCTATATAGAAGGCCAAAACAGAACAGCGGCAGCCGGTGAGATTTATCAACAGCGGCTGTTGTCGAGCCCGGTCCCCGAAGAATGCGCTATATAGTAATAGATTATATTCCCACTTTTTCCCAACACTGTGAAAGGTAGTGGAGGTTTAAAGAAAAGGAAATGAAAAAAAAAGAAGTCATGGCATGTCTGTCAACAGTCGACTGGATGTACCGTTCAGCCACACGGCTCAGTTTATTAAGATTCTGAAGCATTGATAATAATGTTTTCCCACGTTTTTTCATCAGGGATCCCTTCTGAAGCATTGATAATAATGTTTTGTCATGGCATGTTTGTCAACAGTCGACTGGATGTACCGTTCGGTCACACGGCTCAGTTTATTAAGATTCTGAAGCATTGATGATGATGTTTTCCCACGTTTTTTCATCAGGGATCCCTTATGAAGCATTGATAATAATGTTTTCCCACGTTTTTTCATCAGGGATCCCCGGGGCCCGCACCGGGGTTGGGATACCCTCCCCTTCCAAATCACACCTGGTCCTGCCCCACCTCCGCCSCCCCTGCATCCCTGCAACCCTTSCCCCGCMCCCYYRCMCCGCCACMCCCCTGCACCCCCGCCCCCAACCCCGTGCCCACCCCCGCACACGCCAAATAACCCCGTGCCCACCCCTGCCAGCCCCGCAGCCCCGCATCCCTGCACCCCGCCCCCGCCACCCCTGCACCCCAGCGCCCCCGTCCTCACCCCCGCGACCCCTGCACCCCTGCAACCCTGCATCCCCGTCCCGGTCATCCCCGCCCCCGCAGCAGCCGTGGGCGTGGCCGGGGGGGGGTGGGGGGGGGGAGTTCCGAGGAGGGGTGAAAATCATTTTTTTTTTAATTTTGGCCGGGGGGGCAGTCTCTCACTGCGCACCCCCCCGTTTTTTTTTTTAATTCGGGGGGGGGGGGGGGGGGGGGCGGGCTCCGGAGCCAGGGTTCGAGGTGCCCACCCCTGGACCCCTGCTGGAGCCCAGGGCTGGTGCTCGACAACTGTGTTGCTGATCCTTTGGTCTGAGAACTTAGCAGCTAAGAGAAAAGTCATCGCTGTTTGGGTTGTGGTTCTTTGCTCGTGCTGCGATCAATAACCGACTCGTCAGTTTAATTTTCTGTTTCTCTTTTCCTGTTTGGCTGGCATGCTTTCTCCACCTGCGGAACGAGAAAAGTGGTTTGGCGAGGATGAGAAGAATGTCCGAGCCCTCTTCACCTTGGCTGCCAAGGTCGCACCAACTATAGTCTTCATCGATGAGGTGATGTGCTTCGAAGGAATCAAGCCCCCAACCTTCTCTATCTGTGCGTGTTTAAAGTTTAAAGTTTTTGAGCTTGCAAAAAAAAAAAAAACAGGGTCTGCACTCTGCAAGGCATTTTCCTAAGAAAACAGTATCAACTTTTCAGTTTGAATTGTTCTCATAATTGGAGAATTCAACTTGAAAAAAAAGTCTTAATTCATTGTTAGTAATTTATTCATTGTTAGTATAGTATATATTATAATGATATGTATATTTGACTTAAACCACCAGTACGTTGCCCAGCTAGAAAATCAAAGACGCGGCATGCATTCTGCAGAGAGTGTATTTGCCATTTGGTGCTACGTCCAGGGCAGATGCAGAACATTTACTGCAACTTCTGGGGAACATAGTGTATTTACTATTTACTCGTGTTTTTACTATTTACTTGTGTTTTTACTATTTACTGTAAGTTCCAGGGCAGATGGTGTATTTGGTGCAACTTCCAGGGGGGGGGAGTGTATTTAGTGCAACTTCCAGGCCAGATGGTGTATTTAGTGTGAGCTTCCAGGGCGGATACAGATATAAAAACGGTGCGTTGTGCTCGAGGGAGGAAGGTCGCAATGGAAAAGCAAGGCACATGAGTGAAGTGATGTCCGTCTTTTTTTCTTTTTTTTTTTTTTGGGGGGGGGGGGGGGGAGGGGGGTGTTGCAAGTACGTTGGAGTCACAGCCAACGTCCAGAATAGGCAGCTTTAGCAGTTGCCGGAATGGAGCAAAAAAGGTGACCCTAAATCTGCCAAGGGCCAGTGCGGCTAATGACTGGTGCAGTTTTAGACCCCCGCTGAACTTGCACATTTTCGAAACTCAAACCATGACACCAGCGCCACTTTGTCTTTTCTTGCCTATTTCAAACTAAACGTGTGTCACAGCCACAGTTTCCCCCTTTTTTTAAATTATTAATGGAAAGGTTGTGCAGGCGGAGGTATAGGCAGGCCGTACCCTGACAGCCAGTGCTTAACTCGCACTCCCACAACACACCCAGGGAAGAGCAGGGGCATTCCAAGCCAGGAGACGCCCAATGTTACCTCGTCGCTCAGCGACCCCCCTCCCCCAGCTGTGTATGTTGCGAGCACAGCCAGCAGGATGCTCAACGGGCAGGACCCCGCATACATCTACACAGCCTGGCGACCGCCCCCCTGCAGGGTATCCGGCCGGGGATGTGACTGAGCTGGTGTCAAGTATTGCGAATTCCTGTGAGGTCATAGCGAATGCCGATGCACTCAATTGAGCCAACCAGGGTCCGAACCCGCTGCCTGTGTCATGTGACACAGGAACCTGTAGAACACAGGCGCCCGACCAACTGGGCTATCCTTCCAGGGAAAGGGAACTTAGGGAAGGAGCAGCAGATGTTGGCAGCAGCTGGTACCCTCACCTAAGGCACTCGTGCATTCAATCAGTGATGGGGCTTTGGACATAGGGACTCAATCCGGAACTGCAATGAGCAGCAGCTGGTACGCTCACCTGTGTCACTTGTGCATTCAATCAGTGATGGGGCTTTGGACTTAGGGACTCAATCTGGAACTGCAATGACCCGGGAATGGTCATTAATGGTTGCCTGTGAGTTTTACGAGTTTTGCTGTATATTTCTGTAGTCTGCAATCTGCCTGCAATTTCTGCACTTTTTCGTGTGCGATCATTTCGTGCTGGTTTGTGGGTCTTTGAGTCTTACTTACCAGTGGTGGTGTCCGGTGTGACAGTAAGTGTTTGTGAGGTTCGTTCCTGCAAAAGTGGTACCTTTGAGAGACGAGACTGAAACCGGTTCCGGTGTGACAATAAGTGTTCGTGAGGTTAGTTCCTGCAAAAGTGGTACCTTTGAGAGACGTGACTGGAACCGGTTCCGATTGTGTGTGTTTGTGTGTTAAATTGTGTTTCTGTTTTCGTGTTCATGTTGTTACCTTATACTAATGAAAAGAAAGTGAAAGCCATCAATTCTGGCACTTTGTCAAGCGTATGATTCTCTCTCTCTCTCTCTCTCTCTCTCTCTCTCTCTCTCTCTCTCTCTCTCTCTCTCT